GTTTTCCACAATAGGGTCTGCACGCAAGGGAAGGCGCAAAGGGAAGCAAGAGGTTCTCCCCGTGGACCGACCCGTGACGAGATCCTACGCCCGGGCCCATAACATTCTGGTATCAGAGCCTACCGTCATGGGGGAACAGGAGCCGCTGTCTTCCAGGTCCACGAACTGGAACATAGGCTCACAGAAACCAACATAGAGGTTCGTGAAGTCAAGGATGATGTCCGGGAGCTGCGACGCATGCTGGAAGCATTCCTCTCCAACAAGGACAGAAGTTCTGAGGGAACCGCCACCACAAACAGTTGTCGTCCAGACTGGGCAGAGACATCCAGCGAACAGTAGATTGCTGCCCCGACAGCTGCAGTTATTCCCAAGTATAGCCGGTTGGAATTCCCATCTTACAACGGCACCGGAGACCCGTTAGGATGGCTGTATCGCTGCAAACAGTTCTTCCGTAAACGCACTGATGACAAAGATAAGGTCAGTTTGGCCGCCTTCCACCTATCAGAAGAGGCGCAGCTTTGGTTCTACCGACTGGAGCAAGAAGAACCCGGGCTCAGTTGGGGGCAGTTTAAATCATATTGTCTCCTCAGGTTCGGACCACCGTTGACAAGCAACCCGCTGGGTGAGTTAATCAACCTCAAGCAAACTGGAACCGTGGCATAATACCAACGCCAGTTCCAAACCCTTCTCGCCAGAGCAACCTCGATTTGCGCAGATCAGCAAGTCGATATGTTCACCGCGGGGCTAGCAGAACCCCTAAGAGTGGACGTGGAGATGCAACACCCTCCCAACCTGGTCACAGCCATGAACCTAGCACGCGCCTTTGAACGCAAACTACAACTCAGCCACGGAACCTTCAGTATGGGGTGGCCTCCATCAGCATGGGCATCCCTAGAACCACTAGGAATGGTTCCATATCCAGCAAGCAGCCAAGAACGGAAGCCACAGACGAGCACCAATTCCAGATCAGCATCCAGWGTGGGGAGTAGCGTCGTTACACCCCCTATTAAGCACTTGTCCAAGGCTGAAATGGCAGAACGCAGGGCGAGGGAGCAATGTTTTAATTGCGATGAACTCTACTCAGCAGGGCACAAGTGCAAGAGACTTTTCTGCCTCCTGGTGAAACAAGAGGAAGATGAGGATGAACCCCCTTCATTGGAACCCGATCCAGGAGGGCAAGGTCATTCCACCTATCTGAGATTCCTT